TTCCATTTCAAAATGTCATGTTTAATTCAGTGTGTTACTTGCTGTTTCTTTGTAATTAACTGTGAAACTTGCTAGCAATTTCTGGGTGAAAATCAAACGTTGGTAAAGTCATGCTTTTAATATTCTGAATATCTTTAAAAATGTAATTTATTCCTGTGATGTAAAGCTGAATTTTCAGCACCATTACTCCAGTCTTCAGTGTCACGCAATCTTTTAAAAATCATTCTAATATGCTGATTCAAGCTCTTATGCAGTCAGCTACAGTACATGCTTTTTATCATAATCACAATACACACTTTCCCCAAAGGGAAGTGAATACGGAAAGTTTTGAAGTTAGTGAGTATAACTACATGTCCTTTGCAATGAAGATCTACATAAATGGGAGAAAAGTTGATGTATAATACATGTTTATTAGAACATTTATGATCTGATTAAATTATATATCTAGAATGTTTTTGTGTTTGGAATGTGTGTATTACCAGCAGCATTTTTACTGAGACACGTGTTGGAAACACACCCTGTATGTGAATATTTGATGTGTGGCAATAATGTGACTGGCATGAAGATTGTTTCCATGTTTAAGGTTTTTATTAATTTTTTTAAAGGTGACATATCATGAAAATCTGACTTTTCCAGGTTTTAAGTGCTATTATCAGGTCCCTGGTGCATCTACCAACCAAGGAAACGTGAAAAAGATTAACCCAGTAACTTTGTTTTGGGAAGCCTTTTTCTGCAAGCGTCTGAGAAAACGAGCGCGTCTGATTTCGCTCCCTTGCTGAAATGGCAAAGGGATCGCATTATAATATTACCGCCCCTTAATCTGTAAACTTCCACTCAAGGCGCCGTCATTGTGATTTCGAAAGCGACAACGGTGTACCAGCTCTAATGCCATGGCGAAAGTTTGAGCAAAGCATGCTAACTGTTCTGCCTTTGGCTGCACTGACGAGCACAGAACACTATTTAGAGTCCCAGCCTCAGAGGAGACAAGAGAGCAGTGGATTTATTGATTTATTTAGGCTACTGTATATTGCTGCTGCCACACAGATCTAAAATAAACAAGCAATTTATTTCCCAACTGTTTACATTCACAGACGTAACTGACTGTTTTTGTAACTCGTGTGTTTTTAACGTAAACTTGTGTGTGAATGAGATCTTAGTTTAGTACTCAGCCGCTTTCTGTCCGTGTGCTTTGGATGTGTGCGCTCAGAAAACATTTTTTCTGAAGTTTAAACTCATAGTTTAAAACGCATGATTTCTGCGTGATAAACATGATAATCAGAACCAAAACAGATGTTTTTAGCAGGTGCAGCTGTAATGGCACAGCTCTAATCTGGAAAAGGGGGCGGGGAGCAGCAGCTCATTTGCATTTAAAGACACAGGCCAGAAAAACAGCATGTTTCTGCTTCCACTCAAAATAGGCATTTTCGAAATTATATAATAAATGATCTGTGGAGTATTTTGAGCTGAAACTTCACAGACACGTTCTGGGGACACCAGAGACTTATATTACATATTGTAAAAAGGGGCATAATATGTCAGCATTAAGTTTATGTGGTCACGTGCTCTGGGCATTGTTCAAATATTCCGTATCCTGGAAATCAGAAAGTCCTGCCCATGAGGCTGTCAGGGGTTTTCCTTGTTCCTGAATCTATGAATATCAAGTCTACACAGTAAACAAAACAAACAAAAAAACACAAATGAAAGTTATGTAGTGAAAGATATCTAACTGTTATATAACTTGGCTAGAAGATCATATATTATGCCATATTCCTTATCAAATTTTACATTTAAGTACAACTGACCTCACAAAAGAAGAGGCCTGTGTATTCAATTTGTGTTTCATAGCAAATCTACCTTAAATAGTAAAGATAGCAATAGTTCTGGCCATCCAATACATTTCATTTTATTTTTCATACTGCTTCTTCCAACTCCCAGATATTACAGTCACGCTTGTAAGGAACACCAGGTCAAGCTGTGCATCATGACACACTTATTTCAGTGGAAACTAAAAGGAAGAGAGAAAAGGGGTTTTGTTTTGCTATTTCATACAAACATATCTGTTTTCGATTCGAAACATCATGATAATGCCCCACAGCTTGAGGCCAAAGCATCTTTAATATCTTTATCCTTAGTATTATTTATTTATTGTAAGATATGCAAATTATTTAGTATTTTTGATTGTAGAAAGAAAATATACTGAATTCCAATAAAATAAATAATAATAAAAAAAGAACTGAAATACAAAGATCTCCACATTACCTCCAAACACATGTTTTCCGGATAAACCCTGCGGTCTGGTTGATCCCCCAGAGTACATTTTGGATCAGTTATCTGGAAGGAATGATGCATCCGATCGCACAGATACTAGCTAAAGTGTCCATTATAGGATTAGTGCACCCCAAAAGGAAAATTTCCTGAAAATTTACTCTCTTAGGCCATCCAAAGTATAGATTAGTTTGTTTGTTTAATGAGAACAGATTTAGAGAAATGTAGCATTACATTACTTGCTCAGCAATGGATCCTCTGAAGTGAATGGGTGCCGTCAGAATGAGAGTCCAAACAGCTGATAAAAACATCACAATAATCCAAGTAATCCACACCACTCCAGTCCATCAATTAACATTTTGTGAAGTCAAAAGCTGCGTGTTCGTAAGGAACAAATGCATCATTAAGATGTTTTTGACTTCAAGCCATTGCTTTTAGCTATAGAATATATATATATATATGAGTCCATAATCCAAATGTAGCATTACATTACTTGCTCAGCAATGGATCCTCTGAAGTGAATGGGTGCCGTCAGAATGAGAGTCCAAACAGCTGATAAAAACATCACAATAATCCAAGTAATCCACACCACTCCAGTCCATCAATTAACATCTTGTGAAGTCAAAAGCTGCGTGTTCGTAAGGAACAAATGCATCATTAAGATGTTTTTGACTTCAAGCCATTGCTTTTAGCTATAGAATATGAGTCCATAATCCTTAATAATGCTTCCTCCAGGGAAAAAGTCCATGCCTATTGTCCTCTCACATGGAAATCCAGCCACGTATTTGTTTAGAACTGTTTTTGCTTGTAAACTTTGCATTATCTCTCCATATTTCACTCCTGATTCAGACAGAACAACTTTTACACTTGAGGAAGCAATATTAGGTAGTATGGACTTGTATTTTAGCCTGCAGCAGCGGTTTGAAGTTAATATTATCTTAATGATTAACTTGTTGATGAAGAAACAAACTCCTCTATATCTTGGATGGCCTGACGGCGAGTCAATTTTAAGCCATTTAAAATTTTTGGGTGAAGTATTCCTTCAAGCAAAAAAGAAGACTTGTGAGAGAAACTAAAGTTCATGAACTGAGAATGGAAAAAATATGTATAGCAGTCAACCATATCAAGCACAAAAGAAGCCATTACTCAAACTGTCTGAGTAATGGCTTCTTTTGTGCTTGATATGGTTGATATTTTTGAGTCAAACATAAGAGTTAGTTAGGAGTCTGAACTTGCAAGGGACTATACACTCTTAAAAATAAAGGTGCTTCACGATGCCATAGAAGAACCTTTTTGTCTAAATGGTTCCATAAAGAACCTTCAACATCTGAAGAACCTTTCTGTTTCACAAAGGGTTCATTGTGGTGAAAGAAGGTTCTTCAGATTACAAAAAGGTAAGAAAGAGATGGTTCTTTGACTTTTAAATGCATAATTTAATGCATCCTTATTGAATAAATGTCTTTAAAAAATAAAAACGTGAACAGTGGTGTATGCACATGAAATTCAAAATCAAAGACTAAAAGCTGACTATTGTGTTAGAGCAGTGAACCATGTTCACCTCTGTGTCTGTCATACAATGTTTATTTTTCTGTTTACAGTTCCATACTTCTGTTTTCCAACTGCATGAAGATCATAGCTACTGTAGATGTGCTTAGATGAAATGAGCAGGTTTGTTTATGGGCTTTTTATATGCGTTTTAATGGACAGGACAGTGGACGGAGAGAGGAATGAGGAATATCATGACAATCTGGACTCAGTCCTCATCTCCACTGAAGCAGCACATTAATAATGAACTATTCCCTCACAGTTCATGGCTGATATGAAGCGATGACGTAAACTGTATTAGACAGCTCTTATAGCAAATCCTTGTGCTCATTGTTCTCAGGCATACTGCCATTAATGAAGCAGGACAGTGTTTGATGATGCAGTGCTCTGATGCCTATGTGAACCGACAGACGAACACATAAAAATGAAAAGTTATGTACATTTTTGAACATCAGTCACGCATGTACTGTAACTCTTCCCACCAAACTAGACAAGACAGAAAGTGAACATGATTGAAGTGTGATACATACTGAGCAGTGAATTGAAACATGCACATGAATGGAAACTGGATTCGGATGAAAAAACCCCATCTGTGTATTCACATATTTCACAAATTCAAAGTCTGTATCACCATGTCAACTTCATATAGATTGCTCTTGCTAAACAATGGGCTACTTTTATTAATTCATGGCAATCACATTGCTTATGATAATTGATTATGCATGTCTCAAGATATAATTAAAAAAGGACACTGTAAACTAATAGGTGAAACTAATTTATAGCTTATAAAATAACACGATAGTTAATGCGACTTTCAGTTTTGACTAAATATTGCCTGATGTGTTCGAGCACAGCCTAAAAACCCTGATGCATGCTGACTGTCATCACAACGACAGTTTAAACGACGATGTCACGGATAGTTTGGCATAGTTTCACGCATAATTTGAAAAAAATGTCAAATATTTCGGTCCAAAACAAGATGTCCTTGCTAATACAGACGGTTCCGTGAGCCAAAACAATGCGCCTCTATTTGGTCATGCCTAGTGAGGCGCGCGGTCGCTTTGAGCGCCGATTAATACATTAAAACATTACGAAAGTGTGACGCAATCGGAACGTAGCCAATCGAAATCGTTTTGTGATAAAGTGGGCGGGGCGCGCAGTTGATTATTTACAGTACTGGAATTCGAAAGCGCATTTTGTTACTCCAGTGTCGCCTGAATAAGTCATTAGTACTATTTTGGAATGTTCTGGTAGCAATTAGAAATTTGTTACAACTGTTATTTGCTGTTGTTACATAGGACAGATTTCGAGAGGAATATTAATAATAACTTGATCAATATATTGTTACATTTTACAATATGGACGTTTTTGGCCAAAATAAGTCACAGATGAACACCACCATTCCGACCGAAAACTGGACCTCTGTAAGTAGTTTTTACAGCATTTTACATAAACTATATATCTCATAGTTAAACTATGCTGCACACGCACACATGGAGACTCGTGGAGATTTTCTTTAAATGATCGTTTTAAACTGCAAAATGATCACAGTTGTTTAAAATAGTTGAGAAATAATAATAAATATTATTATTCTATAATATAATATTCCCAGGCGCTTCATATCTGGGTCATGTATTATCATAATCTCATAAAAACAGACTATTGTCTTGCGTTTTGTGTTCTACATGCCTAAACACAGACAGATTAAATAACTTCTCCTTTTCTTTTCTTAGATATACTCTATAGTTCGATGGATACAAATAACAATGGCCGTCCTAAGGTATCTATTCATTTTTAGTTTCGCAGTCATTTATTAAAAAGACACGTATTAATAAATGTTTATGTCTTGTATTTATATTTACTAATAATTTGCCTGCCAGCATTTTAGGTGCTGGCTCCATAATCGTATGTGCCTGTTTAAAAGGACTAGTAAGAAAACCAGAGGTAAGCCTCCATCTAATATATATACACTGTGAATTATTAATACTGTTCAAACAAATTTTGACCACTAAAACAAACCTCTGTTTCAGGTGCTGCCGTTATTCTTGTTAAGTGTAACAGACCTGCTGTTAGCTTTGAGTTGGATGTGTGGAGGTCTTCTCTTCACCCAGTCCTGTAAATCTTACACCACCTGCTACAACCTCCACATAGTGGAACAGGTACAAAACCAACACAATATCATGCAGAAATAATGCTTATCACATGCAGAAGAAGAGGACCTTTCTGTACATGCCATGTTTTTGCATCACACGTCCACAAATAAAGCCACGTGCACAGGAGCAGTCATGTTTGATTGACTAGTGCATGGTCACAACTTTTAAAGGAATAGTTCACCCAAACATGATAATGTGATAAAAATGTACTCGCCCTCAGGCCGTCCAAAATGTGGATACATTTGTTTCTTCATGGGAACAGATTTGTAGAAATGTAGCATTGCATCACTTGCTCACCGATGGATCCTCTGCAGTGAATGGGTGCCGTCAGAATGAGAGTCCAAACAGCTGATAAAAACGTCACAATAATCCACAAGTAATCCACACCACTCCAGTCCATCAATTAATGTATTGAGAAGTGAAAAGCTGCATTTTTATAAGAAAAAAATCTAACATTAAGATGTTTTTAACTTAAAACTGTTACTTCTGACATCTATAATATTGCTTTCTCTAGTAAAAAAAAGTAGTCTTATCTGAATCAGGAGAGAAATATGCACAGACCAAGCATAGTTCACAAGCCAAAACAATTCTAAACAAATATTTTAGATGGAGTTTGATGTTAGAGGACAACATGGGATGGACTTTTCACTGGAAAAATTATTATTGATTATGTACTAATATTTTGGCTGGCCAGAAGTGACAGTTTAAAGTTACTTGTTTCTTACAAACACACAGCTTTTCACTTCACAAGATGTTACTTGATGAATTGGAGTGATGTTGGTTACTCGTGGATTATTGTGATGTTCTAATCAGCTGTTTGGACTCTCATTCTGACGGCACCCATTCACTGCAGAGGATCCTCTGGTGAGCAAGTGATGTAATGCTACATTTCTCTAAATCTGTTCTGATAAAGAAACAAACTCATCTACATCATGGATAGTCTGAGGGTGAGCACATTTTTAGCATTTTTTGGGGTGGGGGTTGGGGGTGACTATTCCTTAATAATTTTAAATGTCATCAAAAGAATAATCACACACTTAGATGAACATTCTTTTCAAATGTTTAACAAGTCATTCATTGTCATCACTTTTAGTTGAGAAAATGCTTTTAACAAAAGTTTTTTTTTAATATACATTAAAAACCATGCCATGTTACCAAAAAATAATAGTGTATTTATTTTGGACATGGTCATACCATGAGATTTTTGAAGTACCCTGGCTTCAATGACAAATAAATATTTTAATAATTCAGTTTGATACTACTAGTTGGGATTGCATAAAAATGGAAAGACTTTAGACCATAAACTGTTCCCTGATTGCCATTTAAAGAATATGTGCTAAAAAAGAAAGAAACACAAATGAGGGAGGGACCTTTCTAACTCTGTGCTTCCTCCCTGCATCCTGCCAATGCACTGCAGGCCTGAACATGTGTCTCTCATTATTGAGGTCTGCTTGTTTGGCATTTAACTAAAAAAATTCACAGGGAATAAAATCATGTGTGCTTGTGCAGTTTCACTTCAAAAACAGTTTTTTCCAAAACCAGTTCGTTCAAAAACGCAAAACAAATATGGAACTGGGAGTTGTCTGAAAAGGAAGTGGAGCAGCAAATTCAAATTCATCATATTCTTTGCCCAGATAAAATTAGTTCTGCCCCACTTTTTAAAGTCTGCACATGTTTGTTTATAACTGTGGATTGTCATGGGTGTGAGTGAACGTCACAGCTCAGTAATGTGTAGAGCTTCACCCAGTCCTGTAAATCTTACACCACCTGCTACAACCTCCACATAGTGGAACAGGTACAAAACCAACACAATATCATGCAGAAATAATGCTTATCACATGCAGAAGAAGAGGACCTTTCTGTACATGCCATGTTTTTGCATCACACGTCCACAAATAAAGCCACGTGCACAGGAGCAGTCATGTTTGATTGACTAGTGCATGGTCACAACTTTTAAAGGAATAGTTCACCCAAACATGATAATGTGATAAAAATGTACTCGCCCTCAGGCCGTCCAAAATGTGGATACATTTGTTTCTTCATGGGAACAGATTTGTAGAAATGTAGCATTGCATCACTTGCTCACCGATGGATCCTCTGCAGTGAATGGGTGCCGTCAGAATGAGAGTCCAAACAGCTGATAAAAACGTCACAATAATCCACAAGTAATCCACACCACTCCAGTCCATCAATTAATGTATTGAGAAGTGAAAAGCTGCATTTTTATAAGAAACAAATCTAACATTAAGATGTTTTTAACTTAAAACTGTTACTTCTGACATCTATAATATTGCTTTCTCTAGTAAAAAAAAGTAGTCTTATCTGAATCAGGAGAGAAATATGCACAGACCAAGCATAGTTCACAAGCCAAAACAATTCTAAACAAATATTTTAGATGGAGTTTGATGTTAGAGGACAACATGGGATGGACTTTTCACTGGAAAAATTATTATTGATTATGTACTAATATTTTGGCTGGCCAGAAGTGACAGTTTAAAGTTACTTGTTTCTTACAAACACACAGCTTTTCACTTCACAAGATGTTACTTGATGAATTGGAGTGATGTTGGTTACTCGTGGATTATTGTGATGTTCTAATCAGCTGTTTGGACTCTCATTCTGACGGCACCCATTCACTGCAGAGGATCCTCTGGTGAGCAAGTGATGTAATGCTACATTTCTCTAAATCTGTTCTGATAAAGAAACAAACTCATCTACATCATGGATAGTCTGAGGGTGAGCACATTTTCAGCATTTTTTGGGGTGGGGGTTGGGGGTGACTATTCCTTATTAATTTTAAATGTCATCAAAAGAATAATCACACACTTAGATGAACATTCTTTTCAAATGTTTAACAAGTCATTCATTGTCATCACTTTTAGTTGAGAAAATGCTTTTAACAAAAGTGTATTTTTAATATACATTAAAAACCATGCCATGTTACCAAAAAGTAATAGTGTATTTATTTTGGACATGGTCATACCATGAGATTTTTGAAGTACCCTGGCTTCAATGACAAATAAATATTTTAATAATTCAGTTTGATACTACTAGTTGGGATTGCATAAAAATGGAAAGACTTTAGACCATAAACTGTTCCCTGATTGCCATTTAAAATGCTTGTCAGTACATTCAGCAGTACACTTTAACCATATTTCAAAGACGACAGAAATAATTATAAAATTATATAAAAAGATGTACTTGACTGGGTCAAAAAAGCACTGTAGTTTAGCTAATTGCATTAATATAAATTTCAATTGTAATACATTTGAATTGAATTGCAGTTAACATGCAATTAAGTTTCTGAAAACATTTCATTCAGTTCATACTTAAGTATATATTCTTTTAAAGTACATTACTTCTGTATTAAGTCCTCTTCTTATTCTGAAAAGTATGCTGAAGTGTACTTCTTTTTCACACGGGGAAGCCCTGACTGTACACATTTACATGTCTCTCTCATCTCACATACCCAGCTGATAACCTGAATCAGGTGTGTTCGATAAGGGCGATATAAAATATAACACTTTAGTATAGGGACCAATTCTTACTATTAACTAGTTGTTTATTAGCATGTCTATTATTAACATATTGGCTGTTTATTAGCACTTATTCTGCATGACCATATTCTACATCTTTAATCCCACCCAATGCATAAACTTAACAACTACCTTACTAACTATGAATAAGCAGCAAATTAGGAATTTACTGAGGCAAAAGTTGAAGTGAATGGTTTGTTAATAGTGAGTATTGGACCTTAAAATAAAGTGTGACCAAAATATTCCGTGTTGAGGGTATCAGGGTCAGGGTTGGAAAGCACTTCAATCACACAAACAAACAGTAATGTGAAAGTCGTGGCTTACAGTATTGCGACAGCATGGTTAGAATGTGGATGTGAACTATAACTAAGATATCTTAAACTTCATTAACTTCTCCATTTGACTTTCACATCCTACAGACGCTTTACATGGCCTCGTTCTTCTACACGCTGCACTATGTTTGGGTGCTCTACACCGGACTAATGGGGAAGTACAAGAGACTCAACGGTTTCCCAGCCGAGGTAATCAAATCACTAATATGAACACATTTATAATGGTAATAAAGCAGCATAAGATAGTCTGCATGTAAACACTGGCAATGCTGACTAGCTTGTTTATTTCAGAATGCAGCAAACACAAGAAGCTGCAGATGTCTTGGTCCTGTACTGTCATGGTAAGAACATAAATGATATGAAATATCACACAAACTGATATTAAATATAGATGGAGAAACATACATTTGTGTAAAGAAATGGTGCTGAAAAAGTACTGATATAGGGTCATTTTACCCCACATTTGCAGTAAAAGTCCTTCAGTCTGGTGCAAAAGGCCTTCATGGGGACTCTAATGTAGATATAGACAAATTTACCACTATATAAACTTACCACAGCAGTTTCACTTCTTATTAATTCTTTGTATTTCATAACCTTTTAACTAAATATTTTGATTGAAAATGGTTTATTTAAATTAATTAAGCATTGGAATTTCTATCACTATTTAGTTCTATCACTGCAGTTCCCTTTATGTTCATTATCATTAGCTAAAACTGAAACCATAAAGAAAATTCAGAATTCATTACATGGAACAAATGTTAGCTGAAATAAAAATACAATTTTAATAACTTATTTTATTTCAGCTAGTTGCCACGCCACCATTTCTCATTTTCATTTAGTTTTCATTTTAGAATAACTAAAACTAAATAAACTAAAAATGATATAGATATGTTAAAAAAAAAACTAATAAAAATAGAAAACACAACATAATTACTAAAACTTTTAGTTACTAAAAATTAAACTGAAACTAGAAAATATAAAAATCAAATCAAATTCAAAATATGAACATAAACTATAACAATATAACAAAGATTTGTTATGGTTAAGCATGTGAATATTTGCATGTAGTTTACTAATTTATTTATATTTTATACATCCAAAATCCAGAAATAGTACATATACATGCACATTTGGAATATGTGACCCTCTCTGTGAAAACCCATAAAGTCATTTTTTTGTGATTTACTGTTTTCTACATAAAATCATCCTTTATAAGGTAAAGAACATTCTGTGAATACGTAACCTTTATATCTTTAATATTGACTGAGTAGGGCATGTCAAAGATTGAAATTATAGTGAAATGAATGGTTGAAATCAAACTTTGATGCTTGTTATCTCATAATTAGATTTTGAGACTTTAGCCTGGATTTCACAGAGAGGGTCACATATTACTTACAATAAATAAACCCATTACTTGTAATCCTGCATACTATTTAGGGCAAATACCATGCAAAATAGTTGAAAATGAACAGAATTTAAGAATATAAAGCTTTTGGTTGACTGACTGTCTGTCCTGATCTCTCCATACAGTCTTTTGCCTTTAATGCTCACAGCGCCTGTGTTTGTAGCAGGAAATGTGTTTCAGTGTTACACAAACTTCACCCAGCCCTACAGGTCAGTCGAAATATATTCACACATGCACATGAAATGATTCATAAACTGTACTTTCTCATTACTATCATCATAACTTCATCAAAGCATCCTATTTGAACAAGCCTATTATTATTAAAAGCGTGTAGCATTCAATTCAATAGTTGCCTCTAATCATAGTTTAGTTGTTTGAATGCATTCCAGACAGTTGTTTAATATGATGCTAATTCAAATGTGATTGTCTTCCAGATGTTTGCTGATGCATACAGGGGCTGTGTATCTCACCTCATCTGTAAATACAGAAATTACAGCATGTAGTGTCATTCAAGACTACTGCATGACCATTTTCCTTACTACCTTCCTCGTCACCTTCATTGGCATCACGGTGAGCCGTCTTTAACATTGAACATGTCTTGATTTCATTTTTGAATATCTCTGAAATGTATGATTTAAATGAATACTACGGTTCAAATATTGTTTTTCTTATGTATCATATTGTAAAATGTAATTTAGTCCTCTGATCAAAGTAGAATTTTTAGCATCAATACTCCAGTCTTTAGTGCCACATGATTCTTCAGAAATCATTCTAATATGCTGATTTGATGCTCAAGAAACATTTCTGATTATTATCAATGTTGAAAAGAGCTTCATATTTTTATGGAATCTGATACATTTATTCCAGGACTCTTTGAAAAATAAAAAGTAAACAAAAAATGTATATACTGTGACTTGATAAATTTAATGCATCATTGCTGAATAAAAGTATTAATTTCTTTAAAAAAAAAAATCTTTAACTTTAATTACAATCATAACTGAATTTAAGCACACTACAAATGTTAAGTTTAGTTTTATTTTATTTGATCATGACTCAACGACAAAAAAGAGACTGCTACAGAAAGGTTTTGTATGGTAACATTAGCAAATGTAATAGCTAACATGAACTGCTATGTACAATACTATAATTTCAATTTCTACAAAATAATGTTTTTGAACATTTCAAGTTAATTAAAGCTTATTTTCAATTAAATTATATTTTGTTAATGTGTCATGGTAGAAAATTAACCTAGATTAATAAGTGCTGCAAAACATTGTATCCCATTGTCTATCCTGGAATAAATGTATCAGTTTCCACAAAAATATGAAGCAGCATAAATGTTTTCAACACTGATAATAATCAGAAATGTTTCTTGAGCAGCACAGCAGCAAATTACACTAGTCAACATTTGAAGTGGATCAAAACCTTTCATCAAAGTTGTCCTAAAACTTAAATGCGTTTTTTTTTTCTTAGGACAACTCTGATTATCTTTTTTGATCCACTTGATCAAATGTTGACTATAGAATGATTTCTGAAGGATCCTGTGACACTGTAGGCTGGAGTAATGATGCTGAAAATGAGAGGTGAAGCAAGGATCTATGTAAATGCAGCAGAAAGCAACAGTATTTAAAAAAAAAAAAAAAAAAAAAAAAAAAAAAAAAAAAACATTAAAAGCAATAAAAACCAAAACCACACAACAGCTGTACACTGGGAAGAATAGACAATGACTGACAAACAATGACTAAAACACAGGGGTATAAATACACAGGGTAACAAGAGGCTAATAAGTAACAGGTGAGGCTAATCAATTATCATGAGATAAACAAGAGAACTAAACACAGGATGACAGAACACAGGAACAATACTTCAAAATAAGATTCAATAAAACACAAGACAGGGGAATATGTAACAGAAAATTCAGCTTTGAATCACAGGAATAAATGACATTTTAAAATACATCCAAATAGAAAACATTTTAAATGAAAAATTATCACAGTATTACTGTTTTAGATCAAATAAATGCAGCCTTGGTGAGAGATTCAAAAACATTAAAAAAATCATTCAGACCCCAGACTTTTGAACGGCAGTGTAAGTGAATATAAGGCTAATGATTCTCCGGTCATAATCTAATTGTTACGGGGCTGACGAGACGTGAGAGATATGAAACAGCTGGGTGCAATCAGTGTAAACAGGTGTGTGCAATTCGTGCTGAGTGCAATCAGTGCAATGCATGATGGGAAATGTAGTCCGGGGTGATGTGCAACAGTGTGTAGTGCGAGAGTCAATGAATAGGAAAGTTCGTGGACCGGATTCGTGACACTAATTGTATTCCTCATTTTATTTTTAGACTCTCATGTGTAAAGCTCGCTCCCTGTACAAGCGTGTCATCACGTCTCAAGGTTTCTTTGGTGACAATCATTGGGAAACTCTGCGTCTCCTGGAACGGCGTATGCTGCTTTATCCCTCAGCCTTCTTCTTCTGCTGGGGACCAGGTGAGCACACATTTATACACTAGTTCAAACTTTTATATATAACGTTACTGAGACAGCCAATGAAGAACCTTTTCTTCTTTCCATAGTAAAGGGCTGTATGTGTCAGTATGTTTACTAACAATTTTGAGATTAATTGCCCTTCATGGTAACACTTTACTTAAAGCCTTTATGTATAATGCTTTATAAAAGTAGTTTTAATGTACTTTATAATGCATTAAATGATCTCATGAATACTTTTAAACACAGTTATAATATATAATAATACTTATTTATTCATTTAGAAAGTATAAAGCATTAAAACACATGACAAACCAACTTTTAAATATTAAAATGCAATTTAACGTTTGTTTCAGTTATTTATGAAAAGATATAATGCATTACAACATACATTATGAATACATTTATAATGCATTATTGCAAGTCTTTAATTTATTAACAACCCCTGCACATGCATAGCACTTAAACAATATTTAGGCATGATTTCAGATTTATGTATTTGGATTGTATATAAGATTTCCATGCATTTGGATTACAGAGTTTTAACTAAACTTTTCCATGACATTCTAATTTATTGAGATGCACCTGTATATAACTATAAGTAATATAAAAATTGAACTACTATGAACTACTAAACGTGATGCAAAACTAATGTGATAAAACTAATGTTATGCATATTTGTCAGAAATACATAAATGAATCAGGTAAGAATTCTGTAATATTATTAATGTTACAGAATTCTTAAATACTGTACATAATAACCAAATCTATATATTAATTATCAATAAATATATATTTTTTAAATCTCATACATTCTAATTCATTAATTATTGCTTGTTACACAGCTAGCCATATTATAACCATGTTCATACTTTATGACTGAATACATTTGTTTTGACAATAAAGAGATGTTTTAAAGGGGTCATATGATGCGATTTAAAATTTTCCTTTCTCTTTGGAGTGTTACAAGCTCTTGGTGCATAAAGAAGATCTGTAAAGTTACAAAGACTAAAGTCTCTAATCCAAAGAGATATTCTTTATAAAAGTCAGCCACACCTACCTAAAACGGCTCGTTCTAACACGCCCCCACATATCTACCTCACTATGTGGGAAGATTTGCATAACGCCGCCCAAATGTTCATGTAAAGAAAGAAGGCGTAACTTTTATTCTCACTGTAGTACTGTTGCCGCCGCCGCCATGTCGTGAAGGCAATGTGTGCTTCGTTGTGAAAGCGAAACTACTTTGTTTGGTCTTCCAAAAGAAGACGATATCACTTCGTCATGCCTAGAGCTGATCAGTGCTGGTCGCTGAGGAAATACATCAACTTCGCGCTGTCGATCGCCGGATCAGCTTTTACCGTGGACGAAGCGGAGTCCAGCCCGGGGTTGTCACATGTGGTTGCTGCAGGCATCATAGTATGGTAAGAGGCGTAACATTTCCGTCACACGCTTGAGGTATTCGGCCAATCACAACGCACTGGATAGCTGGCTAATCACAGCACACCTCGCTTTTTCAGACCGATGAGCTTTGTAAAAATTGATGCGTTTCAGAAAGGCAGGGCATAGAGGAGAAACAATAATGTACAGTATGTGGAAAATAATGTGTTTTTTTAACCTTAAACTGCATAAACACATTTCATTACACCAAATACACAAAATAATGTTCTTTTTAGCAACATCATATGACCCCTTTAAATAAATGCATCCTGAAAATATGATTATTTAAATAAAATCAAATAGATGCAAATAATTTATAAAAAAACTTTGAGTACAGAAATCTTACTTGTTTCATTTATGCATGATGGACAAATATGCATCACATTAATTTACTTAGTTTATGTTAGAGCTGTGTAATGCAAATCGATGGAAATTTTATGTACAATTCAAATTTAGGCCTAACTCTTTTTTTTATTGAAATAAATCCACAGCTAAACACTCTATTTTCAGTGCTTTCCCTTAATGTTTTTTATGATCTCTTGTTTATTTCAGCACTAATTCTGGCCACTATGATGCTGGTAAAACCGGACATAATAGAGGGAAGGATGGGAGTCATTCTCTACATCCTACAGGTTCGCCAAAACTCATAAAACTCCTAATAAAACAAAGGCTTTACTCATACTAAGTTGCGAATGTAAAACGTTCCTGTTCTTTTTCTCGACAGGCCTTCACCTCTGCTTCTCAGGGTCTGTTAAACTGCCTGGTTTATGGCTGGACACAGCAGCACTTTCGCTCTCTCAGTGGCAGCAACACCCTACGGGACGCCAATACCCAGACTCCCCTGCTGCGCTCCCAGAAACGAAACTACGCTGCTTTGAGATCTGCTGCATCACTCACCAATTTTGTCTGACAGAGAGACACGCAAGAATCTCTGTAATGCATTGAGAAATGCATTGCATTGCATTGCGTTGCTTTAAACCAAAACGACTGAGGAATCGAACCCATGACTTGGCTGTTGCGAGCGTCGTGCTCTACAGATGGAGCTACCGGAGCCTGTCATGCGTGAAGACCAATGAAAGCAAACACAGCAGAAGCCGTTTGTTTTGCTGTGGTATTACCAACACCGGATGGCAGAAAAGGAAGCTCTGCTGAAATGGGAGCTGAACGTTTGTTCTTCTACCTTGGTTTTGTTTTGAGATTTCAGATGCTGCACCTGCTGCTAGTTTAGCTGAGAAACCCACTTCAGGAAACCGTTTCATCATCCAGCCTCTATAATACTTGCTTTTGCAATGACATGATCGAGACTTTCAGGTCAAGACACACTGCTGGGCTGTCAAAAAGGGAAAGACCGAAGGGGGATTCCGGCCAGAGGGAAATAGCTCTGAAACAGGATCTGAGAGGACGATGCTGCTGCTTTCCAACCACACATAGCGGGTATCAATTACTGCTGAAGGAGCATGAAATAAATATTTTTCTCTTAATAAACAATACAGCTGTGAGCAGGCTTCTCAGTGGATATTATTATTGAAGAATACAGCTGATGTGAAATATAAGTTGCAGGAAAAGTTATCAAGATAGTAGCAATAAACCATAAAATAAGCATTTTTCTTGAAAGGAGGTCTTTACAGTCATGGAAAACCTGGAGATATACGGGAAATATTTAGAAACTGTGATTTTTAGGCTTGGTTCACACAAAAATGAATACTTTGTCATCAGTTACTCTCCCTCATGTCATTCCAAACCCATAAAACTTTTGTTTATCTTTGAAACACAAATGAAGATATTCTTAAAGTCTGTGTAAAGAGAATTCTGAGAATTGTTTCTAAACACATTATAAATGTTAGAAATGTATTGCAGAAACACATGACAAAGACTCTGAAGTATGTAGTACTGAATTGTGGAGTTAAACCGTTAAAAAGTTTTTCACCAATTCTGTGTTTAGAATTTTTTTGGGGCGGGGCTAAAACGGTGGCTCCATTGCGTCATCGAGCCACCGTTTTAGCCCCGCCCCCAAAACAATTCTGACCACGTGGCCACGCCCCTAACACTATGATAACTGCTGCGTATTAGCGTCAGAAGAAACAAAGGGCGATATTATTATAACATTCAGAAATCGATTAACGTCAAGGCTTTTAAAGGGAAATGCAGAAGAGATGAATTGATTATATCAAGATTAAGACTTGGACATTCTGGTTTAAAATCAACCCTGTTTTTAATGGAAAAATGCATATCAGATAATTGTGATGAATGTAATGTTCCAGAAAATGTGGAGGATATCATTATGAGGTGTAAAAAATATAGTGCAGAAAGGAGGATCTTGCAAGATAAGATATATGAGTTGGAACAAGAATGGAGTTTGAAGGGGATTTTGGGGGCAGATGAGAAAATGTGGGAATGTAGGCTCTCTATTATATCAAGATTAAGACTTGGACATTCTGGTTTAAAATCAACCCTGTTTTTAATGGAAAAATGCATATCAGATAATTGTGATGAATGTAATGTTCCAGAAAATGTGGAGGATATCATTATGAGGTGTAAAAAATATAGTGCAGAAAGGAGGATCTTGCAAGATAAGATATATGAGTTGGAACAAGAATGGAGTTTGAAGGGGATTTTGGGGGCAGATGAGAAAATGTGGGAATGTAGGCTCTCTTTAATTTTCTTAAAGATACAGGGTTAGAGCACAGTATATAGGAATTTTTTTATTATATATATATATATATATATATATATTATTGTTTTTTTGTGTTTTTTTATTATAACTATGCTAAGTACATGAAGCCCTGAAGTTGCACACCCCGGTACAGTAGGTGGCGGTATGCACCTGAACAAGTTGGTTAAAAAAACAGAGAGAGAGAGAGCATCAGAAGAAAAAAAAATTACCATTCTGTTGCAGACCCAGTGGGATGAGGTTGATTCTCGGGTATATTCTCTGGATGTATAAATCCAATTAAGCTACTAGAGGTAGCATCAGTAGCATCCATTCAGGTTGTAGCGGTATTTGACAGTTGAGAGAAGCCGCGTTCCAGTGGTTTCAGCGCCAACAGCGGACACTCCCCCAGCGTTTGAGAGCAGAGAGTCCTAACGTTACTTATTTTTCCAAGATTTTGATATTTTATTTACTTGGCGGTTTTTTTTATCATTCAAATTTGGCTGGGTAGTTAATAGCACATTTTCGCTTTACACGGACTGATTTCTGTCCTTCCGTCATGAGAGTAATCCAGTAATCCAAGCTTTCATAAGAGAAACAATTACCAGAACAAACCTCATATGAATTACTTTTTTGATGTCTTTATGAATTTGAGTCTTCAAAGTTTCGGTTGTGTGACCTTTCAGTGGAAGGACAGAAATCTCAAAATATCTTCATCGATGTTTCAAAGACAAACAAAAGTCTTGTGGGTTTAGAGCTGTTTTTATACAGTCTATGGTTTAGAGTGACCCGAGGGTGAGTAACTGATGACAAAGTTTTCATATTTGGGTGAACCCTTTTAAAATACCTGTGGGAATTTCTGCAGTTGGTAACATTTTCTAGTTATGCTTTGTAAAATATGGTTTTTGAATAGAACCCGGAGTGCAATCCCTGTCTTAAAAGTTTTAAAACTCCTTGTTCTGTAATTACAAACAGCTGGAAAAGTCATAAATGACATGTTGCACTGTTTCCTCTTTTACTTTGGATTACATTTGTCCCATGACAGAATGACTTTAATGACTTTTAAGAATTACTTTATTTTTCGAGCATTTTATTGCATTTCATGTGTGCGTGTACATAGTTTTTACACATTAAAAGTTATTGAAAGTGTATGAAACATTTTATTAAAACTTCATTAGGTGTTGATATTTTGGGGTGGTTGATTTCAGATGGACTGATGTTGAGCTTTTACCAGGTTCTGTTTGCAGATTAGCTTTTTTCGGAATAAAAAATAAAAAATAGATGAAAAAATGTGACACTGGGACTACAGAAATTTCTCGATTACAGATTGATTATAACTGACCCTTGTGGAAATCAGGAAGAGAATCTTGTTGAAACATTTTATTAAAACTTCATTAGGTGTTGATATTTTGGGGTGGTTGATTTCAGATGGACTGATGTTGAGCTTTTACCAGGTTCTGTTTGCAGATTAGCTTTTTTCGGAATAAAAAATTAAAAATAGATGAAAAAATGTGACACACTGGGACTACAGAAATTTCTCGATTACAGATTGATTATAACTGACCCTTGTGGAAATCAGGAAGAGAATCTTGTAAAAAATCGATTTCTCCTCCAATTTTCTGCAAAATACTGCCACCTGCTGAAACAATCCAACGTTATTATATATGGCTCTCAAAATGATTTCAATAGGTAAGTAACTTACGTTTTATTTATATAACAACAGTGTTTACATGTGGAGGACCAAACCTGCAGAAATTAATAATAAATGAATGAATAAATAAATAAATGTAACAATGGGAAAATAAATATGGATACATACAAGAGACATAATTATAACAATAAATATAAATAAATGATGTTTAAATGAATAAAGGTATAAATAAATATGTGTGGGAATAAAGAGAACAACAAATAAATGTATAGTTAAATAAAATAAAAATCATGAAGGAAAAATAAATAAAAAATAATAACAATATTTATTTATTTTATTTAAATTTCTGCAGGTTTGCTCCTCCATATTTGCAAAGCACTTTACAGAAAAGAAATGTATCTTAATTCAAATGAAAAGGGAAACACATTTAAATAAAACAAAAAAACAAACGTGTTTAAAAATGTTCAATGAAATTCAATAAGATCTTAAAGGAAAAAACTAGGGAAAAGGATCCTTCAGAGAGAGAAAAAATTGTACCATGAAGACATTTATCCTAAAGTTTCAGAAGATAACGCGCACTTCTCAATTTGTTCTCAGATTTGCAAAGAGAAAAAAAAACATGAAAAAAAACAAAAACCTTTTTTATGCATAGTGGCCCAGAAGCTCATGAATATTTAATGAAGCGAAACGCACGAGGCAATCGCAGCAACGCCACAAACGCACCATCCAATCAAACAGCCGATAGCAGACCCCCTGAATACCGTGAGCCAATCAAAACAAGCAGGAAACTTGCACATCAGGTGTAATCATGTGTAACGAGAATAACAGTGTCAGTCCAAATCACTTAGAGAAAAGTAGGTCAAGTGGAGGAGTTTCAGAAAGATTGAAATCCCACGGCCGTAATAATCAGTTTTATTGAAAACATGGAGAAGAAACAGACCGTCAATTTCGGAGCGGGACCAGCTAAACTTCCACAGTCGGTAAGTGCATCCCCAAAATACTGTAAAAGTTGATTATATTTTTGCAAAACATTAGTTTCTGCGTCGTCGCGTTGTGTAGCGTAAATAATGCTGCGTGATCATAGATCAGAACTCTACGATTAACGTTACATCATCTATCTAGCATCTACTAACCACCACCAGTGTGCATGCAAAATCGGCATGCAGAACTGTTTTACGATGCTGTAATGTGCAAAAACGTTGTGCGTGATTTGGGATGCAGGTTTTGGATGCGCTGTAAGCATTAAAACAACACTTGCGTTTCGCTGGTCTGCATGTGCCAATGTTGCATCAGCCGCAATTTGGCATTCAGATTCGCCTGTTGACTGAAGTGCAACTCTCTGGATGCATAAATCAGCAAACATGTTCAAATTTAAAATGCACACATTCGTATATTCAAACACAGAAATGGGTTCAGAGCGCTTTTTATTGCCACACAGTCATTCTTGAGAAGTGGGACAAAACGGTGCAAAATTGAAAAGATAAAACCTTGTACTCAGAGAACTGTAACTACATTTATGTATCTTGATATGCTTTGATACAACCTCCCAACTTTTTCCCTTTTTTAACAAAATGTGCTTTTTTTATTTTATTTTTTAGCTTGGACTGTGTAATATAATTTCAGCTTTATCTTTAACAGCAGTCAAGATGTTTTTAACATTTCAAAACACATTCTTGTGTTAGCAGACAGGTTACACTTTCACATGTGACCGACAATTCCAAATATAAAAAATGAAATATTATCAAAATATTGGAGGTGACCGAACTGACGGAGTTGACACATCTGACGGAGGTGACGAAACCCTGAATTTGTAGTCATATTAACTATCAAATACATTGAATCAGTCAATTACTGTATTCAAACAAACCGTGAGTATGTTATTGTTTATAAAGCTTTTATTCAAGAGTCACATTTAAGTATTTTGATATATCATTGGAACACAAAATCTTATGGTGGTGACATCTGACGGTGTTGACAAATTTGGCATTTCT